TCTTCTTTTTTTTTGTTTTTATTTTTCTCAAGTATCATTTATATAGGAATATAAAGAAGTAAAAACTCTCTCCCCAAGTTTGAAAGAAGATGATGAAGAAATTATTTATGGGTGAAAATTTGGTTTGTAGACCACTTTGTGACTACTGTTTATAATTGGTAATGATGCTGTTGATGTTTGAGATAAAAAAAAAAAAAAAAAAAAAAANNAAAAATTATTGAACAATTATTTGTTTAGGCCAAAGAATTAGTTGATAGGCCACAATTGACCCATTTTGTGATTATGTGCCTTGCATATAATTGTCAAACTCTTGCCAGACACAAAAATCTGGGATTCGGGGTGATTTATCTGCTACTCTCATCCGTGTTCTGTAATTTTTCGATAGTAAGAATCATTGTGGACTAAAAATTGAGCTGGAATCTATTTGCTGTTATAATACAACTTAATTTATTTGTACATCTGCAAGATTGTGACTTTTGAAGCTTTTTATGGGTTAAAGTTTTGAACTCTCATTAGTCATCATCTCACTTACTTTTTTGTTCGTTGTGCTCAAAGCTTTTGATGACTTATAAGTGATGCTAGTATCAGGCCTTGTTTATCAGGTGTTTGCCCAAAGAAAGCAACGATTATTCTTGTGGAGAAACATGTATTTTGGAGCACTTTTAACTATTATAATTCCTTTTAGTTGTTTGTTTTCTTATGTATTGTTTTTTCATGGTATGATACCTGTTCAAGACTAATTAATTTTCTCCTGCCCATTAAATCTTCACGGCTCGATCTTGTGGTCTTTTTCTTTGCAGTGTCAGAGTGTACACAGTGTTGTGGTTTTGCCTGATGGAGGACCCACTAACATGCATTATGAGCCGAACTCAAGTGCAAGTTCTGTGGAAGTCCCTAGACCGATGAAAAGCCAGACGTGCCTAAGTTCTGATAGTTTGCTGAATTTTACTAAAGTGGATGCCGATAAGGTGAATAATTATACGCCGTTTGTCCTTGATGTGGATATCGAGAAAGGAAAAGCTGAACTCCCCAAGTGTAATGAAGACCGTGTTGTCAATCTGAAATCTGATGACTCCTTTGCAGTATGTCTATGAATTCATGTTGCTGAAAATAATGAAGCTTTCTCTTTCTTGATTTTCTTTTTGATGGTATTTAAACCTTACATTTTATGACTCAATATACGGAACGTATTTGTTCTGTAGAGAGGATTGCCTCAAGAGTTTTGCTTCCAGATAAGAGGAAAGATTATGCAGCTGCTGATGAACCATTTGACTGAGTTACCCAAGTTCATTTCACGAGGTAGTAGTTGGTTTTTAAAAACCATTTCTTATAACTTCTTATTTCTTTGTTGACATGTTAATGCACATCATGAGCTTATATAGTTATATTATCCCTTTCTTGTTGCGAGGACATGCATATTTCTCACATGGGTACAACTAATTGATAAAATTTCTGCTGTTTTATGAATCTTATTCATTTGTTAGACATATTTATCATGCCAGATACCATAATTGATGCACCATGTTGTGTATATTTAAACGAAATATCTTTAGTGTGATACGGGAAGTACTACAATTTTGGAAACAAAGTTTAGGGGCACACGATTGGATATGATTTCATTACAAAGTTTTCTTTGAGTGAAAAAAGATTTGGGGAAAGAATCATTTTTATAACGTAAATTCATGTGAGATGGAAAAGTAATTATTAAAGTTGATGTGATCAGGAAATAGTAAAACTATGATTGGTAAACAGAGATGTATGAGTAGATGGATAGTAAATTTTATATGGAAATGTATAGTAAAGATTGGGTTTTATTGGGAAAACTAATATTGATAAAATCGAGGGAGTTAAAGGTGATGTGGGTATTTGTTTATTTTTTTCTCTAGTGAATGAAAATCTCATTTTCCCAATATCCATTTGTGTTATTCTCTCTCATCATGGACGTATGCATACAATAATGGCACACATTACAAATATAACCTTGAACCATGAAATTCAGCCTCATAAATCAGCATTACATCAAGGGATTATATGTACAAATGGTTGACTGTTGGTTAAAGATTCACTGTATGCCTGTGCATAAGTCAAACTTCATGGTTGATGATCTTCTCTCTTACGATACATGCCATAATAGATGCAATGCTTTGTGCTTGAAGTTCTTACATACTTTGTAATTTCTTGTCACAGATAAGTTCGACATACTTACACCTACTAATAGATCAAGAAAGTACAGACGATCAGCCTCGTTCAATTCAAAAAGAGTGGTTCTCTTGTTCTCAGTCTTGTAAGCTCATACCATAATCCATCCTTGAGTTGATGATTGATCTCGTGCATAATAGATATTACACTTAATCTTGTTGCTTGGGGATTGGGGAAGATAAGAGTTTAGATACTCCCAAGGACACAAAGTCGAGTAGTGAGTAAAAGAATAGCATATAATTTATTTAACGCATGCATTTTTTGTCATCTTTTTGTGTGATGACAGTATTGATTGTGGTTAGTGATAAAAACTAGAGTTAATTGCATATCAATTCGCCAACTTTCATCATTTTTACAATTTAATAATTTTTTTTTTTTTTTTTTTTTTTTTTTTTTTTTTTTTTTTTTTTTTTTTTTTTTTTTTTTTTTTTTTTTTTTTTTTTTTTGGCAATCTCATACCTGAACTTTATGATTGTTGCAATTTGATCTTTAAACAGGGATAACAAATATGCTCCAATAATCTTGTACTTTAAATGGGGATAACTTAAAGCTAGCAGAAGCTAACTATCACTGACCTGATCTCGTGCGATTTTGCACTATATGTGTAATGTTGTTGGACTCTTGATTCTTAGACTGAAATTTGATGTAATTTGTTCTAATCCTTTGCATGAAACTGAAAACAAATTATCTTCTCTTCTTTCAGGTCTAGCATGGGAACAATTATTCTGATTTATCTGACCCTGAGAGTGAGGCAAATCAGCGATGCATATGGTAATGTTTGAACTTTGAAGTATTCTTCTGGATCTCATTTGTAATCTTTCATTGGAAGTATCTCTTTAGTCCATGGCTTACTCCTTCTCTTCTGTTCGGCT